ACTACAGCCCACTTCTTCGGAACTGTAGTCCACGAAAGCTTATGCTCTAATAAATTTGTTAGTCTCTAAGGTGCCACAAGTACTCCTGTTCTTCTTTTTGCGGATACAGACTAACACGGCTGCTACTCTGAAACCTAGTATAATTGTGAAATGTATGTACAGATACTATGTAAGGAGTTATATACACACACACGCACACACACACATACACTGAAGCACTATGTTTTTAAAGTCTGTATCAAGGTAGTGGTCAGCAGCAAAGGTGAAAAACAGGTTTGCCTCCAGACAGTATGTAAATTAAGCATTGTAAGCTAACACAATGGATGTCCATTTACATAAGAAGTCAAATGTTAACAAGGAGGTGTGAAGTCAACACGGAAAGAGCACACTGGGAAAAAAAAATAAGTCACGGGTTCTTTCCAGTCTAAGAGTACAGACAATGAACTTTGGGGGGAATTTCTGGAAAAGAAAGAAGACACGCTGGGATTCTGCATCTAGGAAGTAAGTAGAAAGCATGTTTATATTCATGAAAACAATGTCTGCGCCAACCTTGGTTGAAAATGCTGAAGAGAAACTTTCCATAAAACTTCAATAGATAGGAATTAACCTGTTACATTTAGTGTCTGGAAAGCAAGTTATGATTTTGTTTTATATATAACCATTTGTTTCCAATATCCTTGCTCATTATTGCCGGAATCTTGGATCCCTAATAGTAAACTTATTTTTGTTTTCACTATAGAATCATAGAACTGTAAGGGATCTCGAGAGGTCATCTAGTCCAGTCCCCTACACTCAAGGCAGGACTAAGTATTATCTAGACCGTCCCTGACAGGTGTTTGTCCAACCTGCTCTTAAAAATCCCCAACGATGGAGATTCCACAACCTCCCTAGGCAATTTGTTCCAGTGCTTAACCACCCTGACAGTTAGGAAGTTTTTCCTAATGTCCAACCTAAACCGCCCTTGCTGCAATTTAAGCCCATTGCTTCTTGTCCTATCCTCAGAGATTAAGAGGAACAATTTTTCTCCCTCCTCCTTGTAACAATCTTTTATGTACTTGAAAACTGTTATCAAGTCCCCTCTCAGTCTTCTCTTCGCCAGACTATAAATATATCTAAGTGCTGTGGCGTTAAGCAAAGTCCTGATCCTGAGCTGACTCTTACAAGCTAGTGTGTCTACCACTGTTCCTTTGGGAACAGCATGGTTGGTAGTTCTATGGGTGTTCAGTGGATAAGGAACTGACAATACAGGGAATGCTCTGAGAGGGTTCAGGGGTTGGTGTGGGCCATTCACTAGCCTGCACAGAGGGAGTGAAGGCCTGAACAGGTCCTGAAGGAAGCGCTTGATGTGTTGCCAGAGGCTAGTAGATTCAGGGAACTGATTCACAGCAGGCACCAAGAAGGCTGCCTCACGCGTAAGGGCAAGTGGTGGTGAGGTGTCTCACAATCCTGGGTACCCCAGGAGAGTGTCACAGTAACTCTTGAGTCTTTTAAGAGTAAAAATTACTATGGTTAAGAAATTCCATTGTTAAGCCTGTGTTCTTTGTTTTCCTGCCACATTGTCACTGAAGGGCTTAAACTAAAAGCCCAGAGAACCCACAGCCTAAGTGAAAGCATGTGTAAGTGAGTGGAAGGTCCAGGAGACCTGAGGCACTGGTTTCAGCATTTAGGGCAACTGGACTGCAGCACCTACACATCCGAAACAAGGGCATCAGAGAAGAGTTGTAAGCCTGGGAATGTGACCTAGTCTCAGAGCTAGAAACATTAACTAGACTCTACCCAGACCCTCTTGACTCAGAAGCACATGGGACCCAGTGATTGGATCCACTCACAACAGATTGACCATAAAGTGGGGCAGTGGGCCAGTTTGTAACATAAGTAACAAATCCTGTTCCTATGATTCTGCCTTCTCATTCATAACTTGAACTGTATTAGGCTTACCAGCCCCAAACCTTACCCTTTTCAAGGCACAGAAGCATCCAATGTTATGGTTACTGCTTACTAGACCAACAGTAAAGCCATCCAAATATCTTGGCAAATGATGCTACTTTAAAATTGGCAGTATTCAAAATATTTATCGAGTTCGTGTTCCAATTTATTTTGAGATTTGTTCCTGTTAAGCTTCGACTGATATGATAAGAATCACTAGTTGGCTTAAATTGTGAATGTAATAAACTGATGCAATTGAGTGCCTTTCTTTCCAGCTCACTTTTTATTGGCTCAGGCTCTCTTTTTTTCCATTTTGAAAAATAATTGCTAGGGCCGTTCCGAAGACTCCTATTTTGGATAGCCGAGAACACAAAAAGGCATTTACATTGTATATTTTATGCAAACCTGCAAAAGAAGAAACAGTCAGTACTCTCAGATGTGGAAAGAAACCACTCCAAAGAGTCAAATCCCTTATTAAAAGTATTGTGTTGCAAAGAAAGCAGGATCATCAATGACTATCTGGAGAAATTATAAACACATCTGCTTAATAGAGTTTTAAGTCTCTCGTCCAGGTAAATTGTAAATATACTCATCAGTCATTTATGATTAAAACAAAGCTCTTCATCAAAGTCACACTAGCCTCTCTAAAAGGTATTTGTAAATGTGGAAGTCAGAACTCAAAGTTTAAATGAAACTTTTTAAAATGTTCTACATTTTAGGACTATCAATCTTGACATTTGCCTTTCAAATTCAATTATTTCTGTTAATATTCATACAGCCCTATACATGTTTATGGCACTTTACTGAACACATAAGACACAGGGTGAAATACAAGTTTTAAAATTGGCTTTGATGGTGCCAGTATTTCACCCACAATCCATACCCTGGAGCTTACAGACTAAGGGTTCATCTATACAGCAGCTGGCAGGTGTGATTCCCAGCTTGAGTAGACATACACATGCTAGGACATACACATGCTAGCTAGCAGCACTAAAAATAGCAGTGTGACTGCAGCAGCACAAGCAGCAGCTTGGGCTAGCTGCCTGAATACATACTCAGGGAGCTGGTCAGGACTGTACTCAGGCAGCTAGCCTGAACCCCTTTGACAACACTGCTATTTTTGGTGCTCTAGCTCAAGGAGAGTTACCAGAGTTACCAGCCAGAGCTGGGTCCAGCCGCCCAGCTCTCCAGGGGAGCTGGGGTTTTCTTGTCAATTTCACAGCTCCTGCCATGAAATTGACAAGACAGCGGATGTAAGGTAGACACTGCCTCCCCCTAACTACACTACGCCTCTTGTGGAGGTGGAGTTATTACGTCAGGGAACGTCTACACTAGCAGAGTTACAGCACCGGCAGTTACAGTGCTGCTCAGAGGGCGCTGAAGGGAAACCACTGTTGTGTGTTCATACAGTCAGCTGCCTGCGCAATAGCATGTTCACACTTGCAGTGGTATTTGGAGCGGTGCACTCTGGGCAGCTATCCCACAGAACATCTCTTCCTCTTCTGCCGCTAAGAGTTGTGGGAAGGTGGAGGGGGTCGCAGGGCATCATAGGACCTGTCCCAATGCCCCGTGATGCACTGCTTCGCAGCCCAGCAATCCCTGTGCTTCCGTCTGCATTTGGCGCCATCTTTCAACGGTTTATGTACTGTGCGCTCTGCCTCTTTGGTCTGTAGGAATGGATCCCGCACTGTTGACCAATATGTTGCTCGCTCTGACTAACACGTCACGAATGGCAGTGGAGTTATTCCTTAAACTACAAAGGCAAGAGGAGTGCGACATTGATCTCGCCATGCGTAGTAGCTACGACACGAGATAGCTTGTGGCATTCACGGAGGTGCTAACCACAGTGGAAAGCTGCTTTTGGGCTTGGGAAACAAGCACTGAGTGGTGGGATCACATCGTCATGCACATCTGGGATGACGAGCTGTGGCTGCAGAACTTCTGGATGAGGAAAGCCACATTCATGGGACTGTGTGATGAGCTCGCCCCAGCTCTGTGGCACAAAGACACAAGAATGAGAGCTGCCCTGTCATTGGAGAATCATGTGGCAATTGCACCGTGGAAGCTGGCTACTCCAGACTGCTACCGATCGAATGCTAACCAGTTTGGAGTGGGAAAGTCGACCGTTGGACTCGTGTTGATGGAAGTGTGCAGGGCCATTAATTGCATCTTGTGCCGAAAGACCATGACTCTGGGCAACATGCGTGACATTGTGGATGGCTTTGCACAAATGGTCTTCCCTAACTGAGGAGAGGTGATAGATCGCGCACATATTCCAATTCTGGCACCACACCATCTAGCCTCTGAGTACATTAATCGGAAGGGGTATTTCTTTATGATTCTCCAGGCACTTGTGGATCACCGTGGGCGTTTCATGAACATTAACGCAGGCTGGTCCGGAAAGGTGCATGACGCATGCATCTTTTGGAACACTGGCCTGTTCAGGAAGCTGCAAGCAGGGACTTTCTTCACAGACCAGAAGATCACCATAGGGGAAGTCGAAATGCCCATTGTGATCCTGGGAGACCCTGCCTACCCCTTAATGCTGTGGCTCATGAAGCTATACACGTGGAACCTTGACAGTAGCAATAACAGGCTAAGCAAGTGCACAGATTTAAAACTCAGCCACTATTCACACACCTGTCACTAACTAGCTGACCCCAGGCAAGCACACATGAGCCACAAGACCCCCAAAATGGTGAGTAACCGCAGGGACAGGGGAGATCAGTGTTCCAGGACCGTATTGTACAGTGGCCACGTGGCTCTCAGGGAGAGACAGCACTGTAGGGGGGGGGGGGGGCTGATAATCATTATTGTCCCCACATTTTCCACAGGCTGTGTTCATTATGGAAGATATCTCCCTGTTGATGGTGAGCAGGGAATCAAGGGAGGGTCTTCTCCAAGACTGCGGCTTCTGCCCTGGCCCTTATGCAGCTCGCCTGTGTGCAGCAATGGTCCCCTCCCCCGAGGTGATGGCACAGTGGCACGGGAAAGTTACCCTTAATGGGGCAAGAAACAATGCGGCTCTGCCAAAGAACCTACAGCAGTGGATTGCCCAGTATCTCCATGAGAGTTTCCTGGAGATCTCTGAAGCAGATTCCCGTGAAGTGAGGGAGTCAATCAACACGCTGTTCCACCACTCAGACTAGGCATGCGGTTGTACGCGCATCATATAGACACACGCCTGCTTTCTGCAACCCTCCTGCCTCCAACAACTTGCTTCAGCGATTCCCAAAAGCAAATCCACTTACCAGGAGCCTCCTCTCTCATTTGCGCTTCGCCAAGCTTCGACAGCTGTGACTGGCTAGCCTACTCCGGGGTAGATAAGAGCTTCAGGCTGCATGCATCTCTAATCTCCGAGTCGTCCTCTGCCTCTGGGTCCCCCTCCCCCTCCTCATCCAAGATTTCCACCTCCTGGCTCGGTCCACTCTCGACTGGCAGGCGAGCCACCGAAGTATCCACAGCGACCTTTGCAGTGGAGGTGGGGTCACCACCGAGTATCGTGTCCAACTCTTTGTAGAACCGGCAGCTCATGGGCACAGCACCGGAGCGGGGTTTTCCTTCCGCGCCTTGTGGTAGGCGTTCCGCAGCTCCTTCACTTTGACCCAGCACTGCAGTGTGTCCTGGTCATGGCCCCTTTCTGTCATGCATCATGAAATCTGTCCATAGGTATTATAATTCCTATGACTGGAGCGCAGCTCGGACTGGACAGATTCCTCTCCCCAAATGCTGATGAGGTCCAGCAGCTCAGCATTGCTGTAAGCGGGATCTCCTGGTGCGTGGAGCAGGCATGGTCACCTGGAAAGATGTGCTGAGACCACTGCACGCATCACCGAGCAAACAGGAAAGGGACTTTCAAAATTCCCAAGGAATGTACGGGTGGGGATGATGGTTGGTCACCCAAGGGCAGGGCAGTAGAGTTCAAACCGATGACCAGAGAGGCAAGAACAGGCATTGTGGGACACCTCCCAGAGGCCAATCGCAGCGCTGTAATCGACCTGGGTATCTACACTGGCACCGCGGCGCTGTACCCCCAGTGCAGAAAGCTGTACGCCTCTCGTCAGGGTGGTTTTTTTATAGCGCTGCAAATACGCAGTTTCTGCGCACTAAGTGGCTTGGCAGTGTGTACTCCTCAGGCGTTACAATGCAGAAAGCTGCTTTACTGCACAGAAACTTGCCAGTGTAGACAAGGCCTCAGTGTAATAGGACACTTACATCGGTGGGAAGAAGGCGGAAGTATAGACACTGAAATAATTAGGTCAACATAAGCTGCTTTATGTTGACCTAACTGTGTAGTGTATACCAGCCCTGAGGCCTTTTACTCTTGTAACAAGTGTTACATGATCTTTTATGACTGAAGTCTGAGTTTCACATCTCACACAAAAAACATCATGTGAAATCCTGGCTCTGTTGAAATCACTGGCAAAATTCTCATTGACTTTAATTGAGCCAGGATTTCACTCATCATCTCCAGCATCAGAATGACCCCTTGCATCACGCGTGGGACATCAGCTCAATATTGAGTCAAAGGGGAAAATGCCACACAATGAATCCATACCAATATCAATTCCTGAAGTTTGTGAGTTCTCTCTCTAGGTATCCAATTCAATGACTGGTCCAGCCCAACACTGCTTAATATATGAGATTTGACAAAGTCACATCCCCAAATGGTATAGCTCAAAGTCACAACAGAAATTGCATTTAATGTCTCTAAAGTTTATATTAAAAAGACTTACCTATCCAAACACTGATCTTACAAATTATGAGGGATAAAATGAAACCCTCTACTTAAATTATAAGAAATGTTTACAAAAACTTTTTGGAATGGATTTTTAAAATACTTCTTCAATATTCATAGTGCACATACTGTCTTGAATGTTTGATCAATAAATATGTCATTCACCATATGCACCTGAACAAATAGGAATATACAAATTTTAAAATTAAAATATTGCTGCAGTATACACCACCATAATTACTTTTAGCAGCGAGATAAGACAATATATATTCGTTAGCCAACATATCAGTACAATTTAAGCAGAGTTATTCTTTTTACTGCACAAACCATTTTTGCAGGAAAAATATAAATGAAGATGCAGTAATGCTTAGAAAATTATAGTGATCTTCTACATTGTTATTAGCTATGCTGGCCCACACCACCTGGATGTTATAAAACATTAATATATCAATCATTTATCTTCTTATATGAAAAATAATTAGGTTACTGCATAACATTCATGTCAAACAGTACTTACCATTGTCTCCTATGGAGCCTACTTTAGCTGTCAGGTTCACCAGTATGGCCCTATGCTGTTTGGCCTGATCAGCAAACTGATGTCCAAATGCTCCAGTTCCTTTCCGCAACAGAGGGGCAAAATATTTAGCCATCACTAGGGGCCCTATGGTATTTGTTGCCAATGTTATGGAAAGACCCTAGAACATTAAAAAAGAAAGAAGAAGAAGAAATAAGTAGAAATAAGTAGAAACTGCAAAGGTAAATAGCCTACAGCCAGCAAATGCCAGTTTTAAAGTTCCATCTTGTGCTAACAAAAGATATGAAATCATCTCATCATCTCTCATCATCTCAGTGTGATATCATTATCACTAACAAACATTACTCATTATTGGTCCTGACTTGGCCCATCTGAAATGCTGGCCATGGTATACTGTAATGTAAGGGGTGACCCTTCCAGAAGTGTTGACAAATCCATACTACTATAGTTTACATTGTGTTGATGCTCAAAAATCCAGTGAGGATCAGAGTCCCATTATGCTAGACAGAGTACAAATGCATCAGAAGGTATTATCTGTCCTGAGGAGCATTCTTTTTTAAAAAGACAAAAGATAAAAGGTGGGAGAAACCATGCAAGCAAAGTAATGTGCACATGCCTTATTAATTCCATTTCTTCTTCCTTGTCAAATTATTACCGGTAATTCATTTTTGTTTAGTTAGAGTCAATATGGAGCATTGCTGCTTTGTGGCATTTTGTTCCATGCACTTATTGAAGAGTCTGTTGGGCTAGTTAAATTTAAATGATTTAACCTAAAACACCAAGTAGCATACATATTTTTTCTTTTTAGTGTCCACTGACACTGAAAACAAAGAATTAAACTACTTTAGCTCTTTCTGATTTTGCTGATATTGTTTGAACTTTGAAACATTGGTCACTGGGTATCTGCAAATAAACAACTGGTACTAAAACATGTTGTTTAGTCTCAGGAGCATACAGGTTTAAACGAAGAGATCACAGCTCAAATTATCTATTTAGGTCATCAGAATTTGAAACTATAATTACAGTCAATTTTATGTATACTTGTATACTTTGGAGTTAAATTATTAACTAGGAATACCAGAGTGAAGGTCACGAAGGCCATTCCATTCTAAGGCTCCAATACTGCAAAGATTTATGCATGTGCTTAACTTTAAGCACGTGAGGAGTCCACGCATCAAGGCTAATACATTTATTTTTCTTTTCTAAGAATTTTCTAAAAAATCTCAAACTTAGTCTCAGCCCAGGAAACCAACAAGATGAATTAAATTAAGAAAAGAAACAAGAGTTACTTAGCACACAACACAAGATGAAGGGATGGAACAGGAAACTTCTGTAACTAAGGTTATGTCTAAACTAACGCTTTTGGCGGTCAGGGGTGTGAAAAAGCATACCCCTGACCGACATAGTTTCACCGACAAAAGCGCCAGTGGGGACAGCGCTATGTTGGTGGGAGATTCTCTCCCGCCGACTTAGTTACCAACACTCGTTGGGGGTGGTTTAATTATGCCGACAGGAGACTCTCTCCCGCTGGCATAGAGTGGCTACATGGGAGACCTTACAGTGGTGCAGCAACTGTCGTACAACTGTGCCACTCTAAGGTCTGTAGTATAGACATAGCCTACAGAAAAACAGGGAAAAAGGAATAGCCCACTTAGCAGACAGTTATGCTTAGTGAAGTCATTTCACGTTCAGAAAGAGACAAAACGAACACATAAACCCCCAAACCATTATATCTGATGAAGACACAGTGGGATTCTCAAAAGCACCTAAGTGAAGCACAAGTCCCATTGAAAAACCCATCCTTAATTAGAAATGTTGGCTAGCTGCAGGGATGCATAGCCAAACCTGAGTTGCACTGTGACCCCTGAGGCCAGGTTGCAACACCCAGAGAGGGACCCAGGCTCAGACCTATGTGACTGGAGCTGAGCCCCATTGCAGGGTCGGGTGAGTGCAGTGTGGGCTTCCCCTCCAACCCTTCTCCCTGCAGCCCCCCCTCAGTGGTAATTTCTTTGGAAGAGTGCAGGCCCTCGGTGTCAGGTTTTGTCCCACGCTCCCTAAAGCTCTGTGCAGCCCTGGCTAGTTGGTCTACTGTGAAGCCAGTGGAAAATAATTTTACTTCCACTGTCATTATTGTGGAACATGATGTAAGGATGTATGTTTGGGGAGACGAGGGAAGGGATTGCTTTTTGTTATTTCATAGCTCTCTGAAAAGTGTGCTAGTGCCATTTTTCCTTTTTTTACCCTCACTAAAGACTGTTAAGTAATTTTTGAGTTGGGCTAACTGGCCAAAATACAGTTTATTCAACATACTTTTCAACATTCTTTGCAGTTGCATAATGCAAATGTACTTACTCCTCAATGTGCTATATGTTTAGACCATGCTAGTTTTGAAAGAAAGTTCTGAAGGCCCGAAAATTACATCTTGAACACACATGGTGCATTTTCATTACTGAAATATACCTGCACAGTTCCAGATGGGCACACTCCATCTATCTGGAAGCATGCGTGCTGAAGAACAGGTGTCCAAACAGGCCCTCTAAATTTGGGCACCTTGCATGTCCCTTTTTTCTTTTCCCATTGGTTGTTATTTTTAATTACATAAACACATTCCGTTCAAATTTCATGCATCCTGGAACTTTGCACTCCAGAGTGCACTGTGCATTGATGAGCATGCAACAACGGGAATGGCTGGCTGGAGAAAAAGCCCACTAGACCTGTTTGTGTTGCCATTAAGACTCCTTTCTCCTGGCATTGGATGTGGCCCAGCAGGTGGCATGTCTTTTCTTCTCAGGCCGCTAGTCACCTATTTCAAAATGGACATGCTTTTAAAGCCATTATGCACTTTCAGGTGTCTACTGATATATTTATTGAAATACACCAGCTGCAACCAGATGTTCTCAAGCAATGGCTTCACAGTTACCAAGCCACCTTCAATAAAAAAAATCACCCTCTTTTTCAGACCTCTTTCCATTATCAAGGACACACCCCCCCTTCACTCCACAGCACGTCGATGTAGCCTGCTGAGATTAATTAGCAAAGACTTAAACCGACACACAAATTGGATAAAAACCCTGAGCAGCTGAGCTCCGAGGGAATGTCCTTGCTCAGAACGGGGGTCTTCCAGTTAATCCCACAGGAGCGAAATACAGCAGGTCTGCACTAACTACGCTTTTTTTGACCCCATTGATGTTTCCACTGAGGGAAACTCTGGCCCACCTCTGCTGAGACCTCCTGCAAGCTCTTCTCTCCTCTGCCGCTGGGGTGCAACATTGCCCCAGAATTGATGAGTAGATCCAGCCGGCCATGCTCCTTCGCCACTGCTTCCGCTGCCTCTCGGATCTCTGCCTCCCGAGTGGCATCCAGCCGCAGCACAGTGAGGTTCTGGGGATACAGCCTTTGCAGCGCGTGTAAGGCGCTGGCCACTTCAGGGCTCCTGCAGGTAGCGATCACTCTCGCCTCTTTCCGTGCGGATAAAATGTGTTTGCAGAAGTGCAGGCCGAGCCCTCGGCTGGCTCCCTGCACCAGGACCACCCCTCCTGCCATCGCCCCTCCGGCTACACCCTACATCTAATCCTCCCCGCAAGGCAGCCCCCAGCCCGATACCGTATGCTGCCTGCTAAACCCACAGGGCTTTGCCCTCCGCCCAGGCAGCCCCAAGAAACCAGCCCCCCCCTCTAACTAATAAGTGCTAGTGACATGCCGCATTCACCATAGAGGTGCATGGCTGGAGAGGGGTCCTTCCTGGCAGAACAGACCCAGTTCGCTTGCATTTTGCATGGGCCAGGGAAGCTGCTACAGCTCTCAACGGGCACAGGAAATGCATGTTCTCAGCGCTCCCGGATTTCTGTCGCGCTGTATATCATCACATGCATTCAGCCCCTGCTCTTAGCTGCAGGGGAGGTGTGTGAAGACAACTGGGATTCGTAGTGCCCTGTCTCGTTTCTGTGTTGGCAGCTTATAGGGTTTGGACTCCATTTCCCGGGACTGCCTGGGCTAGGAAAGGCGTTATGAATACAGCGGCAGAGGGAAAAGCCTGTTTTCCTTCCCAAAGGACCCTGGGAAATGAAGTCCCAGTCCCATTTGCTCCCGTAATAAAGCAAGCACCGGGAAACTACATCTTCATTATTCTATTCAGTAAGGCGTGGAGGGCTAATACAGCCTATCAGTGCTGTCAAAGTGTAAAAAACTGAGGACAGACCTATCATGTAATTGTAGATCATGTGGCTATTGTTCCTCCTCCTCCCCCCACAGAGGGGGCAGTCCAGCTGAACTTCTCCCTGCCCAGGTCATGATTAAGGGAGAGTTAGAGAAGCATAAGGGGATGAAAAGAGAGATGTTAGACGTAGTGATGCAATATTGCCAACTCTTCATATTATATTGTCAGAGTCACAATATATTTGGTGTTTTTCTTAAAGCATCAGCTCCTGGAGTCAAGGGGCTATGTGAGAATCTCATCTTTCATTTTAAAAAAAGTTAGGTCCATATAAGAACATAAAAATGGCCCTACTGGGTCAGACCAAAGGTCCATCTTGCCCAGTATCCTGTCTTCCGACTGTGGCGAATACCAGGTGCCTCAGAGGGAATTAACAGAACAGGTGATCATCAAGTGATCCATCCCGCTGCTCATTCTCAGCTTCTGGCAAACAGAGGTGAGGGACACCATCCCTGCCCATCTTGGCTAATAGCCATTGATGGACCTATCCTTCATGAACTTATCTAGTTCTTTTTTGAACCGTTATATTTTGGGCCTTCACAACCTCCTCTGGCAAAGAGTTCCACAGCGACTGTGTGTTGTGTGAAGAAATACTTCCTTTTGTTTGTTTTAAATCTGCTGCCTATTAATTTCATTTGGTGACCCCTAGTTTTTGTGTCATGGGAAGGAGTAAATAACTCTTCCTAATTTACTTTCTCCATACCAGTTTATAGATCTCAATCATATCCCCTCTTAGTCGTCTCTTTTCCAAGCTGAAAAGTTCCAGTCTTATTAATCTCTCCTCATACGGAAGCCATTCCATACCCCTAATAATTTCTGTTGCCCTTTTCTGAACCTTTTCCAATTCCAATATATCTTTTTTGAGATGGGGCAACCACATCTGCATGCAGTATTCAAGATGTGAGCGTACCATGGATTTATATAGAGGCAATATGATATTTTCTGTCTTATTATCTATCCCTTTCTTAATGATTCCCAACATTCTGTTCACTTTTTTGACTGCTAGTGCACATTGAGTGGATGTTTTCAGAGAACTATCGACAATAACTCCAAGATCTCTTTCTTGAGTGGTAACAGCTAATTTAGACCTCACCATTTTATATGTATAGTTGGGATTATGTTTTCCAATGTGCATTACTGTGCATTTATCAACATTGAATTTCATCTGCCATTTTGTTGCCCAGTCACCCAGTTTTAGGCAGTTTATGTCAATCTAATTATGTCAGTATCTTATTACATGGGTGGTGGATGAAACTTCCCCTGGGGGAGGCTAACTCCTTGTCCCACGTCTTCTGCCACAGCCCCGCCCACACTCCACCCCTGGACCCACTGCTCACCTCTTCACCACCCCCCCCGTGAGGTCCTCGCATTGCTTACCTCCTCCCCCACCCCCTTGCTGCTTGCTCATCTGCTGCTCGCCTCCTCACCACCTGCCAGACCCTCCCACCCGCCACAAGACCCCCTCCACCTGCCATGCAGCTGGCTCACTGCTTGCCTCCTCACCCTGCTGCTGTTCCCTCCCCCCCCCACCCATGAGACTCTCTCCCCTTTTCATCTTAAAGCACTAGTAATATTCCCCTACGGGAACTGAACAGCTATACATCAATTGCCAGATGGATTCTCCTCAGCGTGGCAGGGAGTTCGGTGTATACTGTCTAGAGAGAAACGAAAAGCCAGGCTACCTGCAGGAAATTGAAGCCTAATCTCTCCTTTTGAAAAGTGTTTGTCATTGACAGCCTGCATTAAGGCAGTAATTTAATAACCTTTCTTATACAGAATGCCCTGCCAGACTCGCTTACTTAAACTGCGTTTGAATAAAATGACTAGATCAAGAAATAAACTCACTGACTATGTGAGCTCCTCCTTGAGCGAACTTAGTTAAAAATAGGAGTACTTGTGGCACCTTAGAGACTAACAAATTTATCTCTAAGGTGCCACAAGTACTCCTGTTCTTTTTGAGGATACAGACTAACACGGCTGCTACTCTGAAACCTGTCATTAGTTAAAAATACTTCGGCTGGGTACAGAGAATAACTGACGGGTCATCTGGAAACTGTTTTTAACCCCAATAATACAGTTTCCTACAGTATAAAAGCCAGCTGAATGGGGCCAAAGGCTTCCTGGGTATTGGCAAATGTGTGTTAAATGGCTTCATTACCACTTTAATGGCCCCTTAACAGTTTCAGTGATCTGCTACTAAGGGCTTGTCTACACTGGCACTTTACAGCGCTGCAACTTTCTCGCTCAGGGTGTGAAAAAACACCCACCCACCCCCAGTGCTGCAAGTTTCAGTGCTGTAAAGTGCCAGTGTAGACAGTGCACCAGCACTGGGAGCCACGCTCCCAGCGCTGGTAGCTATTCCCCTCTTGGAGGTGGGTTTTTTTATAGCCGCGACTACACAAGCCACGTTAAAGTGCTGCCGCGGCAGCACTTTAACATGGCTGCGTAGTCGCAGCACCAGCTCTGGGAGAGAGCTCTCCCAGCGCTGTAAAAAACCCACCCCGATGAGGGGAGTAGCTCCCAGTGCTGGTGCACTGTCTACACTGCCACGTTACAGCGCTGAAACTTGCATTGCTCAGGGGGGTGTTTTTTCACACCCCTGAGTGAGAAAGTTTCAGCGCTGTAACGTGGCAGTGTAGACAAGGCCTAGGTCTCTGGTCTGGACGACTTTTTCACTGTGTAAAGTTACTCAGGGATCCCCTCCCCTCCTCACTCCCCCTCCTGCTGCTCACATCCTCACACACACACACACACACACACGCCCCGCCCCACAGGGATGAGGGGTAGGGATGTGCCGGCAGCTGCAGGGACCTGTGAAGGGAGAGGAGGGTGGAGTGGAGGAGAGGAGGAAGGAGGGTGGAGTGGAGGAGAGGAGGAAGACTGGCAGCAGCAGCAGGCTGTCGGCACCTCCAGGAAGGGTCAGAGCAGGGAGGGGAAGAGGCAGGCAGGGGGGTGAGGGCACCACAGCCCAGGAGTCGGGCGGCAGGGACAGATGTGCTAGGGGAGGCACCATTGCCCCTTCCACCCACCGATGTAAGTGCCCTGCTACACCAACACCTCCACGAGAGGCATAAAACTTATGTCTGCATAGTTAGGGTGACACAATGTCTGTGGAGATGTTGCCTCCCATACATCCGCTGTCTTGTCAATTTCGTGGCAGGAACTGTGAAACTGACAAGAAAGTCCCACTCCCCTGGAAAGCTAAGCCACTGGATCCAGCTCCTGGCTGGGAGCCGGGGCGAGAAGCCCGAGGGGCCCCCTGCCCGCTCCCTGCAGGCGGGGAACAGGGGGCGAGAAAGCCCTGGGCAACTTCCTCTGGGTGTCTTCCCCCCACTCCTTACAGGGAACGAGAGGGGAGGGGAAAGAAAGCCTTGGGTGGCTTCCCCCCACTCCCAGCTGGGAACGGGTAGAAGAGAAGCCCCAGGGAGCTTCCCCTGCTCCCTGCTGGGAAGGGGGGAGGGAGGGAGGAGAGGAGCCTGCTGGGAGCTTGTGGGGTAGCCAGGCTCCTGGCAGGGAGCTGCCAGTCGAGTTGAGAGATGGGGCTCTCAGTTCTCCACACTGCCCCTTTTAGGTTGGTGGAAGCGCTCCTGGTGACTACTGACCCAAGGAGGGTAGCGTAGACATGCAGCACCGCAGTAATTATATGGAGCAGGGAGAGAACCCTAACTACTGGCCTATGGGAGATGCTGGTGTGGGTCTCTTTCAGTCTCTCCTCTTGGAGCTGCTCCATTGTGTATAAATAATTAAATATGCATTGAAGCAAGGAGCTTGGACTCTGAGTCTCCCACCTTCGAGGGAGCCCACTAATCACTGGGCTCTGGAGTCATTCTCACACACCCTCTAGACTAGTGCACATTTAAGTATTTATACACCACCATCATCTGCAATCCCCTTGATTTGAGGATGATCTCTACCACAGATTGACATATGGGTCCTGAGATAACGCAGGAGTCTGATCCTGGAACCATAGATCCGCCCGCAGTAGGTACAGACATTTCCTGGCAGGTCAGCTGCTTGCTGGGAGAAAGTTCTTTCTTTTTCCTTCCTTCCCTCTCTCTCTTTTCAGCTTTGAGGGCAAGGTGCTTAACATCCCCTGGAAGATAAGGGTGAAAGAGATGTGTCCCACTGCAAGTGGAACTAATCTGCCCTTCTTCAGTTGGCTATGTGGGCTGTAGCACAGGTTGGTCCATATGCTGAAGAAGGTTGGGCTGAGCCATAGTAGTACTAAAACTGGGTCCTGACTGAGAACCGTGTGATGAGTAGCCAGGGTATGCCTCCTCCTAAGGCATTTCCTGCTCACTCAGATGGATAGGATTATTCACAACTTTTGTGGCTCCTGCCTGCCAGGAGTAACAAGTGCAACTCCTAATACAAGGAACATAATTTTGAAGGGGAGGAAGAAGTGTTTGGCGGTGCACTCCAGTCAGCAGGTCTTGTCTTACCTGATGAATAAAAATAGTTCCATAAGCTGTGGTGATTTTGAAAAAAATAGGAAATCAAATTTCAGCCAAATATTTGCTTTCGTGATTGTGGCAGCAGTTCATTTCATTTTAAGGGGCTGCCTCTAAAACAAACCATTTAAGAGAAACATCTTGGTAAAAAGCTACAAAGATTATTTGAGTATGGAATTTCGTCACCTCTCACTCAACAGGATGGGTTAATTCCAATGGCTTAATCTTTCCTTTCTCATAATTTCTAGTATGAAAACACTAGGAGCATTTGGTACACTTTTAGTTTGCTTTTAGGCATCTGTCCTTTGAGAGCACAGTACTTTCTATGACTGAACTTACTACTTCTATGCCCTTTATTTTTAACAAAGTTTGAGCTTTCGTTATGCCATAGTTGATCCCGATGCTGCCTGTTGTAAGTGAGAAAGGGTGTGTCAGTATTTCCCCTTAATTTCACAAGTATAATACCTTGCTCATACAAAAAACAATTTTATTTGAGACATAAGCTTGCTAGACCAGATCCCTGCAAGGCATAATTTTCTGCAAGAGGTAAACTTCATCTTTTTTGACAACAGTCTGGAAAATAGTCTGAGGCCTCTTCAGCGCTTAAAATGTCGGTTGATATAGCTGTCTGTCAGGGGTGTGAAAAATCCACATCCCTGATCGACATAGTTATGCTGTCTGAATGGTCAGTGTAGGTGCAACTAGGCTGATGGAGGAATGCTTCTGTTGACATAGCTATCATTATTCAGGGAGGTAGTGTTCTTACAGTGACGGAAACACCCTTCTGTTGGCACAGACTGTGTCTGCACTGCAGGGTTATGCTGACATAGTACCCATAGTGTAAACATGCCCTGAGATGAACCTCAGAGTTTTCCTCCCCTCAGTGGTGTTTCAATAGGAGGTGATTCCTTCCACTCTATGATAGGCTTTCTCTGACCATGTCTTGACATGCAAAAATGATGTAATTTTGAATTATTTTTGCAGGACTGAAAAGCCTTCTGAACCCTCAGTGAGACACTAGCTCACACGGCCAGATGTAACTGACAGCTTCAGAATGTTAACCTGCATATTAATGAGCATTAAGAGGGTTTTTCAGTACTCTGAAGCAAATCCAATTCAAAACCACACCTTCTCTACCCATCGTAAGTGAGACCGTGTCTTGAAGTGGTCTGCATAAAACAAAATTTGCAGACCCACTGATCCCAAAATCTGAGAGATAACACGTTACATTTCCTTATTGATGTGGTTTAACTTCTATTTTACTTTATTTAAGAGGGACATCTAAATTTTAAAGACACTTCTGTTCAAGACAGCAAACACAAACAACTTCTAAAATCTAGGATCTAGATCAGGGGTGGGCAAACTTTTTGGCCCGAGGGCCACATCGGGGAATAGAAATTCTATGGCGGGCCATGAAGGCTCACAAAATTGGGGTTGGGGTGCAGGAGGATGCTCCAAGGTGGGATTGAGGGGTTTGGAGGGCAGAAGGGGGATCAGGGCTAGGGCAGGGGGCTGGGGCGTGGGGGAAGGCTCAAGGGTGCAGGTTTTGAGCAGCGCTTACCTCAAGCGGCTCCCGGAAGCAGTGGCATGTCCCTTCTCTGGCTCCTACATGGAGGCACAGCCAAGCGGCTCTGCACATTGCCCCATCTGCAAGCACCACCCCTGCAGCTCCCATTGGAGCGCGTAGGAGCTGGAGCGGGGCTGAGCTGCTGGTGCGGCCCCCGACCCAGCGCCCCGGCTGGAGCGGGGCCGAGCCACCCACCTGTCACTAGAACACACACACACACACACCAGTTTCAAACACCAAACCAACAGTTTGCAACAAAATGCTTTTCAATAAACCCACATGCATTTAAAAGCCAATTGCAGAAAGTTACCTTCTACCACAGTATAAAGGATTGCAGGCACATGGTTGTTCTGTTTCCCCCCATGTGTGTTTGGGCCTTTGGGTTAAAGAACAAGCAAAAATGTATTAGTATTACCCCCAAATTCCTATGCAACCTGTGTAATACCTGAAGTTTTTTTTTTTTTAATTTAACAGTATTAAGCACAACTATAGTTAAAAATGGTTTTTACCTTGGCCTAGTGGCGAAATGCATCTTAAAGTTATTGGTGCCATGCTAAACAGATCACACTGCAGTAAAGATAGGTATCATTATTTAGTAAGGACAGCATGGCCAACGAGTGACATTATATAATGTATATTTTCAGAGTTAAAAACACGGAGCATACCCATAGACGCCGACTCCGTAGGTGCTCCAGGGCTGGAGCACCCATGGAAAAAAATTGGTGGGTGCTCAGCACCCACTGGCAGCTCCCCGCCCTGCCTCCCCGCTCCCGCTTACCTCCGCCTCCTCCACGAGCACACTGCCGCGTCCTGCTTCTCCACCCCTCCCTCCCAGCCCTTGTGCAGCAAAACAGCTGATTCGCGGGGCAGGGAGGGAGGGGAGAGGAGGAACGCGGCGTGCTGGGGAAAGAGGCAGGGCCGGGGTGGGGATTGGGGAAGGGATCCAATAGGGGCAGGGAGGGGCCAGAGCTAAGGCGGGGACTTTGGAGATGGGGTTGGAATGGGGGCGGGGCTGGGGCGGGGAAAGGGTGGAGTCGGGGCAGGGCAAGGGGGCGTGGGCACCCACTGGTGCCGGAGAAAGTTGGCGCCTATGAGCATACCTCCTCTTGCTGTACGGGGAGATTTTAGCAAACCAGTAAAGTGCCTGAAACCACTATGGCTTATTGTTAAAAGCAGCCTATTTAGCAGTCTCAGCTTGACCAAGGGAGGAGGGGAGGGGGTTTTTTGGATGTCACAGAAAGGGCAGCGGGCAGCTTGACCCCGCGTCCTTCCTGATAAGAATTGTGTTGAAGTTGCTGATACATGCATTTTAGGAGAGCAGGATGTGCCCCAGGAATGTCTATTGGGGTTTCAAGGCTACAAACTCTGGAAAAACCCACACCTGGTTAATCAGTAATCAGAAGGAACCTCTTGCTTGACCATTGAAACTGCTTACATAACAAGTTTTCTTTAAGGGATATGTCATTCTATTACTAATGTATAAATAAGGGGGGAAAGTTTGAGATAGTTGGACTCTTTTTAGACTCTCACTCTGGATACATCTTGCGGTCCCCACCGGCAGATGGAAGATTTGGCCATCGGAAGCCTGCCGCTGTGTCACTCAAGAGCCACACTCAGCTTTGGTAATTATCAAGGGTTGGGGATGTTTTACTAACCTGTTGTGGACGTATGTAAGTGCTTGAGACTAAGTAAAAGTTTAGCTTTAAGTTAAAGCACTCTTGTGTTGTCCTGTTTGTTCCAGCCATTTATCGGTCGGACGGCCATGTCTCCCCTGATCTATTTCCTGACACCACCTCGCACAGAGTAAAAGTTATCAAAAGCTTTGGGTTAAAAGAATTCCAGGTAACATTGCAGTCCAGCAGCAGTTTAAGACAGTTTCTGTTGAAAGAGGACAGTCTCCAAAATACATGAGGTTTTTATATCATCCTAACTCTTTGTTTCAAACAGACTTCAAAAGTCTGTAGTTAGCAGGTTGATTCGATCACAACTCTGAAATAATAGATACTTAAGGACTTTAGGCACCCCTCCCCTAACATTCCCTTTTCTGATTTGGGGTGGGGGAATTAAGTTGTCTGCACAACTGGGCTGCTTTTGGCTAATTTTTTTTTCTTTTAGTTAAAATAAATTTTTCTGTAGGGCCTTCTTACAGTATTAAATGGTAAATCACCAATCCTTAATGTAACTGTACCCATTTCCAAGTGGGGGCCCTTTGCAGATATCAGTGAATGTATTGTGGCTTGTTTTTTAAACATGTTTCTTTCATGCTTAAAGTTTGGGGGTTGTTTTTGAAATAAAATGGGCAACCATAATAAGCACCCATAGCTTTTAAATGTTTGTCTTTAGAGCAAATGCTTGTTCTAAAGTATGGTGGAGGTTTGTGAACCCTTCAAACATTTCAGTTTTGGGTTAGACCCTTGTTTATTTTTCTGTAAATATATTATTTTAAACTTTTAATGACTTTGAGTTGCTAGAAAGAGTGACCCATAGCATTCAACCAACTCCTGGAATATATTTAAACTGTCCAACAGTGTTCAACCAAATCCTGGGGGTCATATTTAAACTGCCCAATAGAGTTCTACGAACTCCAGGGGTTATATTTAAACTGTACAATAGCATCTGTGAATTCCTGAGATTTTATTTCATTTCATATTAATCAGAACTCACCATCCTCACCCACCCACCTCCCTTACTGTGGGTGCACACTCACCAAATTTAATAACTGATCAATAATACATTAACACTGATGGCAAAAAGAGTGAATAATCTCAGTCACCCTGGCTATTCAGTGGGGGTGTGGTTAAAACCATTCCGTTCAACAGGATGAGTCAGCTCTGTTGTACTCAAACACGTCTGAACCATCCCTATTTTTTTGTTTTTTTAATTGTAAACACATTTTTAGGATTTTTCCCCTCCCACAAGATTCTACAACATACATTTCAGCTTTTTGCTGTAAATGGGTCTCTTTTACACAAAGACACAAGAGCTAGGTTCTCACAAACATTTTTTATTTATTTAAAAGACATACAGCTCCTTGAAAACAAATCAAGATGCTCCATTAAAACTTTTAGCTCACTTAAGGGCCACAGAGACCTTCTAGCAGAAACACAGATAGTTACAAAGCCCTTTTCAACATATTTTTTTTAAATTTACAGCTATCAAGTTTTATATTGCTTGTTTGTCCCCTCACGATTCTCTAAATTAATTATTTTAGATTTCTTACAAATAGTCTTTTTCTTAAGCAGGGTTCTGTAACTTTTTGTGCGGACCAAACGGCCACTATAACGCTGTAAGCCGGCATCTTCCGGTTTGGTCATTTTCTTTAAAAGACGGTCAGGATCTCCACTGAATTGCACAGCATTTATCAAGGTCACCCCTTGCGCTAAATGTTCTTGGGTTAGGCACAGACATTGCATAGCATAACCTATGGCAATAACAGTGTTTAATAAGCTTTCCAAACACAGTTCAGCACACGGGCCCTGGAGCTTGCAGTTTATATCCATTGAAGTCCAAGTCACACAGTCATGGTGCCGTTAGGCTGGTGCGTCTATGACACAGCCCTCACAATCTTCTAAAAGCTTTTCCCTAAGACAGTGATTAAGGACAGCATAAACAGCAACACGTACAATAGTCTGCAATACTTTTTTATGCTCACGACGTGTCATTGGCTCAGTTAGTTCCATGCCAAGCCTCCTCATAGCTGTCACCCTCGGAGTCTTCTACAACAATTTGTATCAGCATTGAGCAAAAACAAGGCAGGCCCGGTTCAGCTTCACTGTCTGATGCAACACTGTGCAGGGCCTCCAGGTCTTCTGGAAAGGCATCGTTGAACTGTTGAGAGAATTTCAGAAAAGAAAAAAGTAAGTTCCCACTGCTTATTTTTAGATTTATACAACCCTGGTTCCTAACCCCATTACACCCCATCATCGACCCTCACTTCTTAATCATTCATTTACCTGAGCAATGTCTTTTCCGTTCACCTTGTCCACCAGTGACTCCCCAGAGCTGCGTTCACCTTCCTCCTCCAGGCGGGTGGATGACGAGAGGCCACCATGCTCATTGGGGTATCTCACGAGAAGTTGGGTTTCGGATTCGGGTTCCATCAACGGCTGGGCCAAAGGGCTCCCCTTGGCCACTCCCCCCTCCTTGGAACTGTCACGATGTAGCGCTTTCTCCGTGGATGGTCGAAGGCTCTTGGGGCTAAAACAAAGTCTGAAGTTCTCACGGGGGTGGTGAAGGAGTCCATGTTTCCTCTCAGCCTTTCCACGATTTCTAAAACACCCGTTCTTGGTAAGAGATGGCCTCTTCTGTCTGGCGCTGGGACTTATGGGGTGATGGTGCTGTGCTCTGATTGGCAGAGGGCAATGGGAGGAGTTCTTAGAGGGGTCATATGATACACCTTGCTTCCGGTCATGTGTCTGGCTTGACCCCGGAAGTAATACTCCCATGGGACGGGACTTCTGGTGACAGGTGCGCGGTGCTTAAGGGGTCAAGGGGCAGGGTTAATGTTTGATTGATGGTAGGGCCCTTATACTACTTATGAGGCAAGATTGGAATTCTGAGTTCTAATACCAACTCAAGAACTGGACTCAGTCTGTGGATGTGGGCAAGTCACTTAACCTCTTCCTCTTTTCACCATATGTATGTGATTAATCTCTGAGCAAAAGTATTGCCAAGCTTAAAATGAACAAAGATATTGTCAGTGTTAGGCCTCAAACTTCTGCTTTGCAGAGGTGAAAAGGGCAAGCTTTGCAGAAGTAAGCTAAAACTTGTGGTCAAAACGCGCTGCAACCAGATAACACATTCTAAGCAAGGTAAGTTGTGCCCCAGGCATAGCTTGACTAACCCACAATGAAAACAATTGGCTACAAGAAAATCAGTAAGTATAAATTATACAGTCAAAGCGACACAAGAAGATAAGCAAGCATAAATTATACAGCCAAGGCAACAATGCTAACCACAATAAAGATTTGGCTGACCCTAATTGGTCAGTCTGTTTTAAAACACGGCTGACAGATCAGATAAAAAGTACAAAGGCACGGGATTGTGTGTGTGTTTTGGTCATAAGGGAAACCTGACCCACACCCCCTGAACCGAAGGGATGTGCACTTCGTGACCATCTGTACCTGGCCAGTGCAGAAAACGGCTGACTGAAGAGTAACGTATTTTTGGGCAAATGCAGGGTAAGGTTATGGAGTAAAAAAGTCTGGTTGCTCTGGCAGAACTGATCTCAAGTTATGTCAATACTATAGTGTTAAGATCGTAGTAAATAGCTAATGAATAATAATTTTACACGTACTCTATAAGGTTAAGAATAGTAGTAAATATCTAATTAATAATAACTTTATATGTACTTGTGCTTGTCTTTAGTATAACTTGCCATTTGTATTAACCCTTATTCAGTGCTGGTCTTTAATCTTGCTTTTCTTCTTTTGTCTGTGTTGCCTTTATAGTCGAAAGTCATTAAAAACCTTTTTTGAGGAATAATTAGTCGTTTTAATTTTTCTTATACAGGCACTACTCAACCTCATTACATCTGTGTTGGGAAGTAGTGATCACCCAGGGCCCAATTAGGGTCCTAACTGTGCCTCCCTCTTCCTTTATCTCCGCAATATAAACAGTGATTATAATCTTATCTCTCTCACAAGAATGTGGTTAATATTATTTTATTTATGCCCTGATTTTGCAAACATTTTTACATTTGCTTAACTGCAAACATGTGAGTAGTACCACTGAAGAACTACAAATTAAGCATTATATACTTCAGGATTGGGGCCTTGATATTTATATGCTTTTCTAAATGTAAATATAACTAACATTTGAGCACCTCAGACACAAGTTTTTCCTCACAATATTCTATTGGGTTATTATGGCTATTATCCCAGTTTCACAGATGAGGAACTGAGGCAGAGAAAGAATAAATAATTTATATTTTTTCTACTCATCAAAACATGTAAGAAAGGAGGAGGAGGAGGATCACATTATAAAGATCTGCAAAATCTACGGTGACTAACAGCTCATTTTGGCACAACATGTGAACGGGCTGGAGAGAGCAATGCCACGTCCCTTCTCAATCAAGAAAATCCAAGACCAAGGAGCTAAGTAGAGCCCACAGGTGTATTCAGACCCCCCAGAGGGTACAAGGAGCCTAGAAAACATGTGATCATATATGTCAGCAGTTCTCAAATTGTGGGTCAGGATCCCAAAGTGGTTAGAGACCCCCCTGTAGAGACCAGGGCTGACATTAGATTTGCTGAGGACAAAGGACAAAGTTCCAATCCCACTGCCTGGGGCCAAAGCCCAAGGGCTCCAGCCCTGGGTGACGGGGATCAGGTTTTGCCTGGGGTGGAGGGGCTCGGGCAGACTCAGGCTTTGGTCCCCCCTCCTGGAGTATTTTTGTTGTCAGGAGGGGGTCGGGTGCAGTGAAGTTTGAGAATCCCGATATATGCTTAACATCTGTACAATCTACTGCGTAGCATCTCATGTGAACAGAGCTTATTTTGTGGGTCAGCATTTGGAAGTGTACCACCACCACACTTTTTCCCCCTAATCTGACCCGTGTTCACAGTTTCATTTGAACTGCTTATTGACACTGCACATGCTTATTTTAAGCCCTGATAAAGAACTGGCAGAAATAACCTGATCAGCAAATTAGCTGGTTCATCCTGAGAAGCCAATGTAGCTTTGGGCTTGCCCTGTGGCGGCTGTTCTGTAGCAACATACCGCTTCCCACGTGTGGTTTGTAACGACACAAACAGCTCCCGCTCCCAATTCCCGACTTTGGGTGGGTGCACTGAGCATTGGCCTAGGCCAGTGGTTCCCAAACTTTAACAGCCCGCGAACCCCTTTCACTAAATTGTGACATCTTGTGAACCCCCTCCTAAAATTGAATATTTCCAGGGATTTAAGTTTAAATTTCCTCAGTGTGATGGGATTCGCTTGCTTTGCTCTGCATAGCTCTTGGAAGTCTGGAACCACTGGAGAAAGATAAAGTCTCAGGTCTGGTTCGGCATCAAGTCTGTTTCTGTATTTGATTTTCAGATGTGCATACAAGGAAACTGTTTTCTCGCATAAGTATGTTGTTGAAAATGGTAACAAAACTGCAGCAGCTTTTTCTGCCAGAAAGGGGTACTTGTTTCTTAAACTCAGCCAAAAGTTGATCAATGATAGATTTCTGAAACTCCTTTTCAGTTCGTAATTACTCAGGAGATCTCAATCAATTTCTCTTTCCTGGTGTTTAATATCTGTGTTGAGAAAGTGGTATCATCAAAAGGGTTGCAAATTCAGTCATTATCGCCTGACATAGATGGAAAGTATTCCCTGAAACTTGTGCAAAGTTCTTTTAGGTGTGCAATTATATTGGTTTTAGTGCACTGATCCAACTGAAGTTTATGTTCTGCCAGGAAGTCATGAAGATTACTGAAACACTTAATTTGATTGTTTTCCAAACAACTTCCCCAGAACTGCAACTTCTTTATCAGAGATTCAACTCACTCTTGCACATAGAAAACTGTTATATTGAGGCCTTGAAGAGATAAATTTAGGTCATTAATTCTTGAGAAAATATCTGCTAAATAAGCTAGGCTCTGGAGCCAGACATTATTTTCCATACAGCTGGCAAGGTGGAAAGGGTGGCTGTTGAAAAAAAACTAGGATTTCCGTTCTAACCTCAAACAAGCACACAAGGATTTTACCCCTTGAGAGCCATCTAACTTCAGTATGGGTCAACACACAGTCATGTATACTACCCATTTCTTCACAAAGTACGTGAAATATTCTGGAATTTGTTGGCCATGATTTTATGAAATTCACCATTTTCACTGCATTGTTCAGCACTTCCTTCAGTCCCTCTGGCATGCATTTTGTTGCAAGGGCTTGTCTATGGATGCTGCAATGAGTCCAAGAGACTTTTGATGCAACCTTTTTTGTTCGAGCTACAAATCCAGTATACTTCCCCGTCATTGATGTGGCCTCATCAGTGCAAATGCCTAGGCAACGAGACCAATCTATTTCCTTTTCTTGAAAATATGCATTAGTCAGATTGAAGATATCTTCTCCAGTTGTACGTTCTTCCAGTGGTCGACAAAACAACAAGTCTTCTTCAACCATCCCTTCATTCACATAATGTACAAACAGTAGCAAAATAGCTAGATTAGCTACATCAGTTGATTCATCCAACTGTATAGCATAATATGGACTATTTTTCACTCTATGTACAATTATGGTCTCTACATTATTTGACATGTCATTAATTCTTCATCACAATGTATTATTGGACAAAGGTACCATGCTATGATATGGGCTTCTGATGCTTTTGCTACTCAGTAGCTCACGCGGTATGACGCTTTAAGTGTATTTTCATTATCAGTACTTGCTTTGGATATAAAACTGGTAATGTCACTTTTCTTCTCAGCTAATTTTCGCTTGAAAAAATCAACAGGCTTGTCGAGTTGTGCAGGATGCCTAGTTTCTAAATGGCGCCAAAGTAGAGAAGGTTTGAGGCTGCTGTTTGCTAGAACATCACCACAAATCACACACAGTGGTTTTGGATGTTCTTGATCACCAATGCATGTAAAGCCATATTTTATATAATCATCGTCATATTTTCTTTTCTTTGTAAGTGACTTTCCAGGACCATCACGATCATTAGACTTAGATTTTCCACAGTGTGGACTTGAGGAAACACTAGCTGATTCGAGTGTCTTTACACCTTCCTTTTTCAGCCACTTATCCATTGAACTTGTGTACAAAAGTTCTAATAAAAATAAGAGAGAGAGACTGTTAACAACCAACAAACTAGAAACTGAGAAGATTCACTCACTGAAGCAAATCAGCACTCCAGAGAGAAGGACAATTACTGAGACACCTTAACACTCCTACACTGGCCACAACGTGCTTCTGGCTGGTTTGGCTCGCAAACAGCTTTTCTTCCCCCGAGGAAGGTGCCCTGGGAGGGACAAATTAGCTTGGACCACCCCCCACATTCAGCGTGGCCCCCTGCTGACTGCCCTGGATGCAAACTTCCCCTGCCTGACAAGGACAGAGATCCGAGCTGCCACCTGCACCCCACATGGAGTGCTAGGGTTTGGGGCTGCTGGCTCCCCCGCTGACAGGGGAGGGCTGGGGCTGCCAGCTCAAACTGCCCAGCCCCACTCCCCACTCCCCACGAGGATCGAGCTGCTGGCTCCCTGGCTGACAGGAGGGCTCGGGCTGCTGGCTCAAACTGCCCGGCCCCGCTCTCCCTGGGGCTCGGGCTGTCTGCCCTGCAACTGGGTCCCAGCAGAGGCTGCTATTAATGAAATTTTTCTTGCGACCCCCTGAAGCGTTCTGCAAACCCCCAGGGGTTCGCAAACCCCACTTTGGGAACCACTGGCCTAAGCGGTACCAAGTCGCGAGCAGCAGCCAAGCGGGTCACGTTTGCGTGTGGAAAAGGGCAATGTTGCTATTTGTGTCGTCACACCGGCCCCGGCACAACACATCCAGGCCGCACGCGCCTCCCCACGCACCAGTCCCAGCCTGCGCTGGGTGGAGACGTTCCGCTTCCCCTCGGCGTGACGTTGGCTTCCAGCCCGCCCCTCGCCTCCCATGGTGCTGTGCGGCACAGCGCGCCGCCATTGGGTGGATTTGAAAAGGGACCGCGGCGAGTCTGACGGTGTTGCCGGCAGAGAGGTGTCGCGTCCCCCGCAGGTGAGCGCGGGCTGAGGGGCTGCTGCTCTCCGGGCCAGAGCTGCGCTCCGAGAGGTCGCTTCCTGGCTTCGCTTCCCCTCCCTCCTTCCCTGCCTGGAGGCTGCCTCGGCTTTCCCTGTTGGTGCGCTGGGGAGCGAGTCGTGCCCCGGCATAGGCAGCCTGGGGCCGCCCGCCCTGGCTCCCAGCGCCCTTGTGGCTCCGGCATGCCGGGCTCGGGAGCGGCCCGTCTGAGGCGCTGCGGTGTCCCGAGCCCAGGGGTGGCTGCTCGGGCTGAGGCTGGGGGCGCTGCTCCTGCAGGAGGAATATAGTGAGTTGCGGCGGTAATAGCCCAGCTTAGCTACACGAGGCTTATCTAGGGCCGAGTTCTTGTTATTGGTTGAGCGAGTGACATGTTAACCACAGTGATTTTTAAAATCTTCTGGTTAAAGGATGGGTGACTTTGACTTCTCTTCCTGTGTGCTTGGGCTGGTTATTGCCATGGGAGCTTAGGAAAGTGATAGTAGGAAAACCCACTTGTCCATAGCAAGTGGGAATCTACAGGCTAAGTGCCATACCTTCTGCAGGCTTCAAGCTTGTATTTGCAAAAAGTAACCATCATAATTAGTAAGGACAACTTCCAACCGAGTGTGAAAAGGGAGAGGGAGAGAAAGCATAGGCCTCTTCTATAATGGGGCTTAGGCCTGGTTTCAGTTATTAGTGAGGCTGCTCTGTTGGAAACCCTTGTGTCAATGAGAAAAATAGCAGTGCACCAGAGGTTATTACTAGGGGGAAATAGGGGGAAAGGTCACTGGTGCAAATTCTAAGTTTCCTTGTCTATGCAAGGGACTTGCACTTCATGGGTTGTTGTCATTGACTTCACATCTTTAACTGATTTGCCTTAAATCTCTTGAGTGTCCCCTATAGCATCGGTTCTCAACTAGGGGTTTGTGGCTCCCTGGAGGCTGTGAGGAGGTTTCAGAGGGGTCTGTGAAGCAGAGCTGGCATTAAACTCACTGGGGCCCAGGACAGAAAGCCAAAGCCTGAGGCTAGCTGTGGCGGGCTGAAGCCCAACCAACAGTTTTGCAGGGTATGGGGCCACAGGCAATTGCCCTGCTTGCTACCCCCTAATGCTGGCCCTGGATCTTATATGCAGAAAAACAGCTGTTTGTTTGGTGGGGGTTGCTGTGGAGTTTTTTCAGCCTGGGAAGGACTCTGAAAGAAAAAGGTTGAGAACCCCTGCCCTATGGTCATGCCCACAGAGAGTTCCTATCTTGACCTATTAATTTAATTTAAGGCACACTTGTTTGTGTCCTAATTAACAAATGTAGGGGATGTGAGAGCATATTCTGAGCCATCTAAAGCTCTTTTAAAATTTAACATTTAAATCAAATAACTGCTCAATAGGTATTACTGATGGATAACTACCAATTAAATAGAGTACTTGAATAAAACAGTTGTGCACTCTTTATCCTTATAATTGAAGTGGACATGGCTTTGAGACTATCACAGCACAGGTATATTTCACTCCAATAGTAGGTTTAGTTTTCAGGTTAGTAGGTGTTGTGTACGTTGTTGAAGCCCTGATAATACTTTGGGCCAAATTCTGCCCTGACTTTCATTCCATGCAACTCCATCCCCACATAGGTGGGACTGACTAGGGTAGAAATTGGGGCAGAAGTTGACTGTTACTCTTGCATAGCTCACCTCTGTAGCTCTTGAAACGCTTTATAAAGCTGGCCAAATATCATCTGTATTTTACAGGCTGGTGGATGCGGAAGACTGAGGCTTGGTCTACACTACAGAGTTAGGTCCACGTAAAGCAGCTTACATCAACCTGATTATGTCAATGTCTATGCTATAGCCTTGCTCTCGCTGATGTAGGTGCCCTACTACACTGACATAAAACATGAGAGGCGTAGCACTTATGTCGGTTTAGTTAGGGCAACGCAGTGTCCATGTAGACCAGTGGTACTCAACCGTTGAGCCGCATGGGGACCAATTAGAGCTGTGTGGTAAAGGCTGCTCAGCTCACCCGGTGGGGTCTGCTTCTGGCCTCACTGGGTGCTGGGCTTAGAGGGTCTGAGGAGGGTTGCGGGGCGGGGGGGAGAGGGGAATCTGTGGTTCTTTACCTGCGGCCCAGCTAATGACCCACAATGATAAATAGGTTGAGAACCACTGATGTAGACGCTGTATTACTGACATTGGCTGTTGGCTGTCATTCTTGGCAATTTCATAGCTCTGCTTTGCCAGGGT